GGATGCCTGGGTGGGATGCAGCAAACAGCAGGCCGGTGGGACTGGGAGCGCTCCCATCCCTAAACTGGGAGAGCCAGCCCGGCTCCAGCCCTTCCCTGCCCACCCGCCGCGGGCACAGCCCTGGACAAACCCGGTGGAGCACCGAGAGCTGTGGAAATCCAAGTTCTGGTCCCTCGGGAACGCCTTGGAAAAGGCTCCCGGGCTAACGGGAAGCAACAGCCTCGGCGGCAGAAGGGAAAATGCCCGAGCAGCACCTGCTGAAAGGAGGGGATTGTCCCCACAGAGCCCGGGGCAGCTCCAAATCCCTTCATCCAAAGAGCATTATTTATTCATGTTCCCCTCGTATGGACTGCAGGGCTTGGAGGAGAGACAGGATCGATCGGGAGAGCACGCAGGGGGAATCTGGGGTGCAGGGCCGGGCTGGAAGGGAGGGGAAAACAGCAGTGGGGTCTTGCAAACCGGGCTGTGGGACAGGGGGACAGCCACACCCCAGGGCAGGGACGTGTCCTTGGATCCTTCAGCCTCCCCTCCCGGCGGGAAGCAGGCCCGGAGAAGCAGGAGATGATGCCTTTTTGTGGTCGCACGCAGGAGGGAGCTGGAGCCTTTGAAGGGGAAAACCAAACGTCTTTCCCACTCAATTAAACGTGGCCAAAGGCTCTGGAAAAGCAAACGGGCTCCATTTAGGGCTCGGGGATGGCGGGAGGTCGGACAACCCAACCGGCTGCGGTCGCCACAGCGAACCCCTCTCCCCGGGGTATCTCCCAGAGCAGAGGGGAAGGTCAGTCCTTCAGCTCCACAGAGCAAACCCCAGGCAAGGTGTCCCCAAAATCCCCGGCGCCACCCGAGCCGCTCCCAAACCCATCTCCCGGCTCGTTGTTCTGCCGGGCAATTTGTCACCGGCCGGGGATCCGCGGCGGCGTTTTAATGCCAGCAGCTCCCCACTCTCCCTTTCTCTTCCCCCCCGAAGAAAAATAGCTTAATTTCTGCAGTTTGATAGATTTTCCTGAGCCTTCAAAAGGTAGAGAGAGAGAGAGAGAGAGGCTCTTGAAAATCGGTCGTTGAACTATCCACAGGCATTTTATAATGGCCGTAAATAGGCCTGTGCTGAATGGCTCTCCAGGCATCGGCTTGAACGGTGTCCTTGACACTGTTATTATTATCCCCACGGAAAGGGAAAAAAAAAGGGGGAAAAAAAGAAAGGAAACAGAAAGTCTGGGAGCCTCTCCACGGCTCAGGAGCCGAGCTGCCCCCGCCGGATCCCACCCCTGGAATTGCCAGAAATTCCCTGAAACAAAGGGATGCACACGCGAAATTTTGGGAGCTTTGGAGCCAACCGAGTGCAAGAAGTTGGGGGGAATTTATTTGCTGTCTTCTGGCCCCT